AATATAATAAGGAATATAGTATTCTGGGATCTATGTTGGGGTCCCCCTATTTTGGGCAACTACCCCTAAGGGTCCAAGTACCTAAAAATCATATACTTACCCAAAACCTGCACTATCATTATTACCCAAAACCCAAGTACCTAATTATTGGGTACTTGGACCCTTAGGGTACTATCTATTTCTGCACCAACCGTGTCTCGTGGCAACTGGGCTGCCGACGCGATGAGCCCCAGACCTTGCACGCAGGCAAGACATGACGCCATAGTCTAAACTCCTAGTATCCCCCTTAATAACCCCTATAGTAGTCCCGTATATAATCCCCTATATAACCCCCTCTAAGGAGTTTAGACTATAGCTCACATGACGCCATTTAGGGTTTAGAGTTTATACAAATTGTATAGGCTTCAGGTCAGGAGTTTAAAGCGATCTCTGATGGAGGTTGCGTTGCAATTATTGCCCTATACAGTTTGTATTTATCTGAGCTTGAGACTTTAGGGTTTAGAGTTCGACTTAAGGCTCAGGGTTTAGGGCTTAGGGGTTCGGGAATGAATACCGACTGCCATTGATATTGGATAGTATCAGCTCCCATAAAGCCACAGGCCCTACAACTAAGTTTCACTTTACCCCTTTGAGGGTGTGGGTGGTGTATGGGGTCAATCGTGCGATGTGTTCATGGTAGTTATGACGCGCTTATAGCTGGTTGGACTTATCAGTCACAAATTCCCTTGATATGGTTGGAGCTACCCATGAACCTCCAAGAGCAACACATCTCCAGATGTTCCATACTGCTGGGGCCCATGAAGTTTTTAAGTCACCATTGATCATTGCCTTTTCTAACATCTTCTTCCTCGCTAGACTGATAACGGAAACGGGAACTCTAAACTTTCGTGCATTCTGAGATGCATACCTACTATGGTTGTCTTGGCAGATATATAACTGGTCCGAAGTTGCCGAGAAATTTGTGTTGATTCCTTAGGCACCTCCAAGTTCCTCCGACCACTTTGAGCAAGCTACATGTAAGACCAAACCCTAAACCGCCTAAACCCTCAAAACCCTGAACCACGCCGAGGTGATGACCCATGGAGACGAAGCACAGGCTTGTTCTGTGTCCTGCGTTGTTTAGGGTTAAGGGTTGCCACACGGACTAGTGTAGGGGCCTAAATGATTGCTGAAAAACTGCAAATCGGATGGGCAAGAACATGGAAAATGGAATGAAACTGGTTTTGTACAGGGTTTATCGGGACTACACTGAATAATGGCCAATATCTCACGGATGCCCTTGCTAGAGCTTTACAAGACCATAGCAATGATAATTCTTCAGGCTCTACGGTAGAGGTCAAGCTGCCATGCCATACGGTTCAGGGTTTGGGGTTAGGGTTTAGGGTTAAGGGCTTAAGATTGAGGGAGGCTTTGCTTGGGTATTACGCGTCAGTTTAGGGTTTGGATTTGGGGTTAATGCTGAGCCCTGTAGACTATTAATGGTGAATTGGGGTTGCCATATACCAGAGTTAGAGAGGGAACCCAGGTAGAGGAGCAAAAATCTAGTCCCTCATTCAGCTTTCTACGCATGCGCAGAGAACCATAAAAATGATGAAAAGGCGGAATGACTGACCCCAGGCTATCACTTTTCTCGCGCGTACAAAAACCAAACAGGGAGCTACAGCCTATGGACAAAACCACATGGCCCTGAGTGGTACTCCATATTGCCATAATTCCAAGGTTGCCAGATTTTGTCCATCCATCCTACTACCTGGCGACCCAGGGAATGAAGGAATGGATACCTGGAGTAGTTCATAGCGTATCCCCAATGCTACTACCTGCGAATACGGCCCATCCCCAACTGAGCCCCAAACCCTACACGCTAAACTAAACCCTAAGCAAAACGAATCGGATGACTATCACTACAAGTACTGCAACAACGACAACAACAACAACAACTACTACTACTACTACTACTACTACGACGACGACGACGACGACGACGACTGCCACTAGTACTACTATTGCTACAATTATTGCTAGCAATTACTGCCATTACTACTATCACAACTTTTACTACCTTTACTACGATTACTACTAATACTACTTTTACTAGGATTACTGCTAAAATTACAGGGACTACTATTGCAACTGTTGCTAGTGCCACTACTATGTTTACTATTACGACCATCACGTCAAATACGACCATTACCACCACAATTACCAGCAGTACTGGTATCACTGCCATTACTATTACTATTATTCCCACTATCACCCTAAACCCTCAAACCTAAACCCTAAACCCTAAACTTTCTTTTCCATTCCCCCCATATTCTACTACGCACAAGGTTGCTCAGTCGGAGAGCTTGCTCTCCCACGTCTGAAGATGCGTGTCTTCTACGACCTCAGCGGCGTTTGAGCCATTGTCTACACTCCTAGAATCCCACTTAAGAACCCCTATAGTTCAGGGTTTAGTGGTTTATAGGGATATACGAGTTATAGTCTAAGCTCCTAGTATCCCCCTTAATAACCCCTATGGTAGTCCCGTATATAATCCCTCATAGAACCTTCTTTAAGGAGTTTCGGCTATAGCTCATTTGGGGGGCAGAAAGGAAAACGGAAAATGTAATGGAAAAGGGGTTACATAGAGGGTGCATGGAGATCGCAAAGTAGAGGCCGAACGCATCAGACTAAGGCAGGGCTCCACAGGTACATGATACTATAGCCCTGAAAGGATGTTTAGGAAGAATAGCGATAGTTGTCCAGGCTTCTACGATGGGCCGTAAAGTGTGGAAATGCAGGTTCAGGGTTTGGGGCTTAGGGCTTCCAAATTCCCAGCAAATTGCAGCAGTGCAAGAACCCCATAAATCTCTATAACCTATAGTCCCCATATAGCCGCTACATATCAGTGAACCCTAAACCCTACATCAATGCAGAATATAGCACCAGATACCAGAAAATCAACACTCGCATGCAAGCCAGGGCGCATAATTGCCTCAGTTTCACAATCAACCAAAGCAGGTGCTGCAGTTTTGTCTCTGCATCGGACATAGTCTAGTTTCAAGCAGCATGTGGTTGACACCAGCAAAGCAAGTAGAAATGGGTCCTGTCTGAGAACCTGCTGGGTTGAACATGCCGGATGGGCGGCAGTGGTCCTAGTTGCTCTTCTTGTCCTTGCTTCGGCTGCAGTCGCCAGTGTTTCTGCTGCAGAAGCAACAAGGTAGTGACGGCACATTAGTGACAATAGATATCGAAGAGACAGGCGCAGCAATTGCAAGTGTATTTACACTTGCAGTGGTACAGAAACAGAATGCAAACAGCTCTCTGCTACATGCCATCTAACCCAGGCGTCGTGACATTACGCTGCCGTCCATCTACCGCCTCCCAATTTCACAGCAATAATAATAATAGCAACAATAATAACAATAATAATAACAACAATAACAATAACAATAACAATAACAATAATAACAATAGAAATAACAATAATAATCCAAGACACCCTCTTCATCCCACCTTCGGTCATCAACGGAATCTTGCTTTCCAGGGCCCTTGGCATGTTGGGGTCTCTCCGAGAGGGCTGCACGGCTGCCCAAGGACATATGGTGGCTAATAAAGTTTCGGTTTTGGTGTTGGTCATGGGGCTTATGAACCTTTTGTTGAAGAATTGCCCTTGATCTATGTGGTGCTTTTGTGCGTCACGGAACAGTTATACTTATTCAGTGCTACTTGGCTTTGTTGGTGACGGATTCAAGGAGAATGGACACAGTGCTACAATTCAGGGCAGCAGTTTCTCAAAATCTTCCAGTCTTCCCTAGGGGCCACTCATTCTTTTGCCAGCAACCCTGCAACCCGAAGCCTCTACAACCTTAACCCTAAACCCTGAACCCTAAACCCTAAACCCTTAGATCCTTGAAATCTCCACAAACCTTCAACCTCCCCAACCCTCAGAAATTCATGCTCCTAGCAACCCTGCAATCCTATACTTCTACACCTAAAACCCTAAGACCCCGAAACCCTGTATACATCCCCCATAATCCTTGACCCTCTATACCTGCTAACCGTATATAACCCTAAACCCTGCGCCCCAGTACTAAAACCGCGCATGGCCCTAAGCACCTTATACTTTGGAATTATGGTGCTAACCCTAAACCCTAAACTCTCAAAATGTTTAGTTTGTTATCAACAGTAGGGCGCCTTGGTCACGACCAAGGCGAAGTGCCGGCCGGTCGCCGCCGTTAGCCGAGCCTGGGCGTTAAGGAAATAGATATGAAGGGTTTTGTGGGCTATGTAGGGTTATGAAGGGTTTATGTAGGTTATATTGACCTCTATAAATGTTGTATTGCTTGGAGATGGTGGGGGTTTTCAAGTGGAATAATTAAGCGGAATTGGTTGCTATCGGGTTGAGGGTTTAAGGTTTAGGGCTTGAGGTCTAGCGTCTAGAGTTCACGGTTTAGGGTTTAAGGTTTAGCGTCTTGGTTGGTATGCCGGAGTTTCCATGAATTAGTGGCCCCAGCATGGACCTGAATGTTCTATAATCCTTACTCTAGAGAATCCGAAAGGAGGACCTCAATATTGCAGGAAACCCCAAACCCCATCAACATGTGTGTATATATATATATATCTCTCTCTCTCTCTCTCCCTCCTCTATATCCCTATACACCCGTATGTATAGATATATATATATATATACGAATATAGATATGTATATGTATATATATGTGCACCTTACAACACCATCGTTTTGATCCAGCTGTAATCTCAAACGTTGTTCAATGGAGGGCGGTATTTAGCCCTGCTTGAAACCCTTGTGCTTTGTTAGGAATGGGTTGAGGGTTTAAGGTTTTTGGATTTAGGTTTAAGGAATACCCTAAACCCTATACCCCAAACCCTAAACCCCTTAACCCTGAACCCTAAACCCTAAACCCTAAACCCCTTAACCCTGAACCCTAAACCCTAAACCCCTTAACCCTGAACCCTAAATCCTAAACCCCCAAAACCCATAAGTGTCCTCTAGGGGCGGATTCCACAGAGTCAAGGCCCGCCAGGTGACGGAATAGCTCTTCAGTGGAGTCTGCCTGGGCTTTGAGTTTAGGATTTAGGCTTTAGGGTATGGGGTCTAGGGTTTGGGGTGTAGGGTTTATGGGTTTAGGGTTTGGAGGGTTTGGAGGGCTTAGGCTTTAAGGTTTAGGATTCAGGGTTTGGAGGGTTAGGGCTTGGAAATCGGGGTTCGGGGTCTAGGGTTTGAGCTTGGGGATTGGGAAATATTGGGGCTACTTGAACCCCAAAGCGGCAGGGAAAACGGGGGGTGCTTACTCTATAATTATGGGCTACTGGCTTCCAAGGTGCGTACTCGTCTAAGTAGGGCTCAGTGGAACGGATGAGCGCAAAGAGCAGCGGATTTGAGCGCAGCTGCACGTAGCCAGGAGCCGAGAAATCCATTTCAGTAATCCTTATGGCCCGAAATGTCATCTATATTCCACCGGAAATTCTGTGGCTTGCCGAATATGTCCTGTGTAGACCTATAGAACCCTTATCTAACCCTAGTACAACCTTCTGTAACTCACTAACACACCTTGACCTTTTTCGGAAAACCCCATATTTCTGGAAGCCTAAACCCTAAACCCTCGAACCTACACCCTCAACCATACACCTGAACCCCAAACCCTACATCCTCAACCCGAAACACTAGACCCTAAACCCTAAACCCTAAATCAAACCACGCAGACGAAACGGTTTCCACCGCTGCGCCGAAGAATCCAAAGCTGTCCACCTGGCTTCAGAAGCCGCAACGCTTCTGCGCACACGCGTCTCCTGGGTGTCTGCTGGGGAATTAGGGTTTAGGGTTTAGGGTTAAGCGTTGGGGTTGGGGTTCTAAAGATAGGGTTTAGGGTTTCAGGCTTGGGGTTTAAGATGAGGTTACCAAAATGGAAATCGAATGGAGCAGAAAGCAGAACATGGAGTGGAAACGCAGATACTTTTCAAGGTTTGGGGTTTAGAGTGTCATGGGGAACGGAAAATGAAGTTGAAGGCTACTATGAAGGGTCTAGAGTTTAGGGCATGGAAAAGAAAATGAAAACTGCTATAGTAGTGGGGGTCTAGCAACTAAAGCCTGAGTTACCAGAATGGGCAATCTATTGGACAAGAATACGGAACTGAATTGGAAACTGGGGTTATGTCAGGGCTTAAGGAACTTGAATTAACTTACCATAAGAAGGGAGGCCATGGCGTGCTGCATACTCGTAATATGGTAACTCGGCCTACCCTAAGCCCTAAACCCTAAACTCTATTCCCTGAATCCTAAACAAAAAACCCAATCCCTGCATCCTAGATCCCAATCCTTAAACCCTAAACCCTAAAGCAACCCCAGTCTCGTGACATCAGGAGGCAGCTCGTGTATAACAAGGCACCTGGGCTGAGGATGTTTTAGGGTTTAGGGGTGGCTGAAGTAAGCAAGCTCATATTCTTCTCACGAAGCACAAGAAGGATATGTAGTCTTGCTGTAAGATCCAAAAATGTAGTATCCCCGCTGCAAACTATTGGTATTCTGCCTGCTTGCTTGTATGGACTCGATAAATGGTATTGGCATCAGACCTGTGTCTACAAATTTATGCCATCTCTAGAAACCCATCCCAGAAGTCGACACTAAATCTTAAGCCTATGCAGCACACCACCCCACATCTTAGAACCGTAAAACCTGAATAACCCCAAAGAAACCTATGTAGCCCTATACCACACTGTATATCCCGCTATCACACTATATAGGTATGAAGCCTTATAAATCACCCGATAGAAACCCCTATACTACCGGCATATAACCCCTATACCCTAAAGCCCTAAAGCCCATATCCCCTTTTGCATCACATTTCTTTTATAACCCTTATATAACCCTATATAATCCCTACACAACCCCTATATAACCCCCCTATATAACCCCATATAACCCTAAATAACCCTA